TGGCCTCGCGTCAGCTCCATTCGTTTTCACGCAGCTGATCAAACAGCTAGCTCGGCGTTGGCGAGAACAAGGCATCCGAGTCATACCTTACGTGGACGACATTCTATTTCTATGCCAGACGAAAGCCCATGCGCAAGAAATTTGCCAGCGGGTGATATTGGACCTTAAAGAGACAGGACTTGTGATAAACGCGAAGAAATCACGGCTGTCACCATCACAACGCCTTCGATTCTTGGGTGTAGAACTTGAGACAGACACCGGCCGATTCTCCATCGGTCCCAACCGACGAGCCTCGCTACATTCAACCATCCATAACCTCCTGAGCGCAAGCAATGCGTGCCGACCAGTCCCGGTCCGCCACATGGCCAGAATCACAGGCATGCTCGCATCAATGGGTGTCGCACTCGGCGCGACCGCTTGTGCATTCAGCCACGCCATGTTACAAGTGATCAACGATACACCGTCATGGAAAAGCAGCGTGGTCATTCCCCCATCCGCTGCAGCAGAGCTACACTTTTGGCTTGAGGAGTTTGACCGGTTCAACGGTGCACCTTTTCACGTTCGGAACAGCTACGATGCAGTAATCCATGTGGATGCCAGCTCTCACGGTTGGGGCGCCACTCTGACCACATTCTCTGGTGGCCGTGAAGAAGCTAGCACAACCATGTCAGAGCCGCTACGAGCAACGTCTAGCATGTGGTGGGAGATCGAAGGCGTCCTTTGGGCGCTCCAAACGTACGCCAACAAGATCAAGCAGAAACACGTTCTCGTGCGTGTGGACAACCAGGGCGTATTCTTCATCCTTCGCAAAGGCGGCTCTCGTAGCCCCGACCTCACAACGACCTGCAAGAGCATCATCCGCACATGCATGGAGCTCGGCACGCGCTTGATCATCGAATGGATTCCGCGCGAGCTCAACTCACACGCCGACGAGCTTTCAAAAATGGTCGACCATGATGATTACGCATTGAAAACGCCGTGGTTCCGCATCTTGGAACGTCGTTGGGGTCCCCACTCCATCGACCTCTTTGCCAACTCCCGCAACACCCAACTATCGCGCTTCTGCACAAAGATTCCCCACCCGGAAGCCATCGCAGTTGACGCGTTCTCGATCGCATGGACATCCGAAAACAAATTCGCTTTTCCCCCACCACAACTGGTCCCAGCTGTCCTACACCATGCACAACGCACCCATGCATCACTTACGTTGATAGTACCGCACTGGCCAGGCGCAAGTTGGTGGCCACTTTTGCAGCCCTCCCCATGCACTTGGGCCCCACACATCCACGCGCACATCCCCCTGACACACGGAAGCCAATGCCTAGATGTAGGGTCCCATTCCAGTGCCTTCTCGGGCACGGGACTACCGCACAGCCCAATCATTGCACTGCGAGTGGTTTTTTACTAATTCTTAGTGTATGCGCCTGTGTTCAGATTTGCTCCCGAAGCTACATGACCAACTGTTTAACATGCTCGCACAATCCCGCGCTGACTCTACGATCCGGACATACGAACCATATTGTGCCAAGTTTCGAGCCTTTTGCACAAAAGTGCATCTTCCCTTTCTTCCAGCTTCTGACATGACCCTCGCACTATACCTGGTACACGCAATCCGACGCAAAGCCACCCTGTCCGTAGTGCAGCTGACGTGCTCGGCAGTCAGCTTCGCCCATCGCATGACTGGGAGCAAATGCCCGACAATCGGACCATTCACCACCCAAGTGCGTGACTGTGCAAAACGACATTGCCCTCGCCCTACTCGCCCGAAGGAACCCGTATCGATCCAACAAGTCCGAGACATGGCCGGAAGTTACCTGCAGTCCGACGACCCTGCGGAATTCCAGAAAGGGTTAATCCCCATCCTCATGTACTCGGGATTTCTGCGATACTCCGATCTAGTGGCCATAAAGTGGCAAGACATTCAATTCGACGAAGAGGTCATGTGGATCCTCATACCACACTCCAAGACTGATCAGGCTGGTCATGGCACATGGATTCCCATTGCAGCAACAGCGGACCCCTGTTGCCCAGTACGCTGTACCCGACGCTTCATCAAACTTGCCGGCTATGGCGCTCAGTCAGAAGGACCGTTGATTCGCGTCTTCGGCCATGCTTCAACTAGCAAAGGTCAGGCGAGGCCACCTTCATACACTACAATCCGCAACTGGTGCAAGGAAGCCTTCGCAAAGGTTGGCCTCGGCGAGCTGCAGCTCGGCACTCACTCTTTCCGAAAAGGCGCAGCTACAGTAGCAGCCAACATTGGAGTGCCAGACAGAGTCTTCAAACGGTCGGGCAGATGGCGAAGCGACACAGCAAAGGAAATGTATGTCACACCATACATCGAGCCTCTCATCAAAGCCTCCCACAACCTACAAGATCCGACGCATGCGGTGACTTCGGCACAACACACAGAGGCACTCGTACGTAGCCGGAGGCCCCCGCTGCCCATGTCTCAGAGACCCCATTTGTAATGAGAACGATGCCAATTGATAAGAATAAGAAAGTAAGCTTTCTCAATATTATAATTTTTAAACACACATAGTGTTTTTCAAAATTGTGTATTGTGAAATCGAAGCTGCTTGTATTGCACAATTGGCATCATCGAAGCGCGCTAAACGCCCTTCTTGTCAGAATCCCAACCACTAGACCATTGGGATAAAAGGGCTTGTTAAGTAGCGGGTCAGTGCGCCCATAACCCCCCAGGACAACGAGCCTGTAACCCTTCCCTAGGATCAATCGGGGATCACCAGTGGACCTCTGACACCCCCCCGCACTGGGATGCCCGAAGTGCACACACTGGGATTCGAACCCGAGACATTCGCTCTGATAACATGTCAGAATCCCAACCACTAGACCATTGGGATAAAAGGGCTTGTTAAGTAGCGAGTCAGTGCGCCCATAACCCCCCAGGACAACGAGCCTGTAACCCTTCCCTAGGATCAATCGGGGATCACTAGTGGACCTCTGACACTTCTCCGACTACAAAAACAGTGGGTTGGAGCTCATTTCCTCCACCCACGCTTCTCTATTTTCAAACGGCTCACTCAACCTTCCCACCACCCACCTCAGCGAAAACTGTTTTGCGCATGCCACTTGGATGGGGTGTATCGTAGCTAGTGATATGAGCATGCACTAGTTTGTGTTCAATTGTGATGCAAATGTTGTAAACAGCCATTTGTAATGAGAACGATGCCCATTTGTAATGAGAACGATGCCAATTGATAAGAATAAGAAAGCAAGCTTTCTCAATACATGCACATTGCACAGTGAATCAACACTTACTTTCCTGCGCTGGAAAACCTTGTTGAGTGCGTTGATCTCTGCCAGCAGATCCACCTAGAAGTAGAGGCATACGTGAAACTTCAGGGTCTGAACAGTTACCGCCATGCTGTGGTTGTACTCGATGAACACCACGATCGCCGCCCCGAGAATTCTGCAGAGACGGGCCACTGCATCCCCGCGCGATAGCCAACGCACGTCGAAGAGCCCCTGGTGCTGCAGATTCGTTTGATGTATTTCGAGCTGGAGCTCCTTGAAGCGCTCAAGCCACACGGAAGATCGCATGACGATTTCGCCAAGCCCACGGATGGCGTCAGCGACGATGTCGAGGTCCGTAAACTTCAACGCGGCTTCTTTGACCGCGAGCACTTCTCTGCATACAACATTAAAAATGCGTAAGGCCGTGGAAGTTACTCCCTTAGACGAGGCGATTGTACGGAAACAACAAATCCACCTGTGCGCTTTGCAATGAGTCCCGACCAGATGTAGGACGCGCTGACGGAGACGAACAACAAGACCGGATTGGCTGCCAATCATCACCCCCGCGCCGTCGGTGCTAACTGCGATAATCCGCTGCAGATCAATCCCGATGTTGTCGAGGTGGCTCAGCAACACCGCGAAGAGGGATCCAGCGTCGCATTTGTGGATGGTGAGTAGAGCGAGAAATTCCGTCACCACTGCTCGCTCCTTCATGAAGGTTGCAAACACCACGAGGTGTTTGCCTTGCGATCGGTCTGTGCTCTCGTCGCAACTAATGCCGATCCACGGTGATGCATGGATGTACATAAGCTGCTGCTGTTGTTGATACGCGCACATAGCCTTCACCATCTCCGTGATTTACATTGATAAAATAGGCAGCGCGGCGCTGCCTTTGTCAAGTCAAAGGTCGCTGACCTTTGACCTTCGCTTCAACTTCCGGCTGTTGTCGCCTTGTCAACCGCTTTGGTTGACTCGGTGTTGCTTCGCTGTGAGTATGCTTCTCTTTTGCTTTAGTGCTCGATACTTCAGAAGCGCAAATTAAATGTTTCCAACACTTGTTGCCTTGCCTTGCCTCCCCTCTTGGCATCGTCTCACTTCAAATCACCACTGCCTCCTCTCCCTCCCCTGCCCCATCTCCTTTTCCTGCCTCCCCATCTCCTTTTCCTGCCTCCCCATCTCCCTTCCCTGCCTTATATCCTATCAACCCATCCTGCCACTCCGTCTTCTGTTCCTACCTTCCAATCTCGCCTCTCTGGTCCCCCCATCCCCCGTTCGTGCCCTCCCGTTTTTTCTTTCCTGGCTCCAGCATCCGCCTCTCACCTCCCTATATCCCAATGCTGCCTCCCCATCTCTTCCTACCTCCCTATCTCCTCTCCCTGCCCCTATCTCCGCTTTCTACCCTTCCATCTCCTATCCTTACCACCCATCTTCCCATCTCCCAACATAATCCGTCTGCCAGCATAATTCATCGTCTTACCCTACCTCAGCTGCCATTTGTTCCGCAGCCACTGAAAAGTTAAACCATTAGTCGTGAACGTTGATCTAGGAAGCGGAGAATTGCTTGGGACGTCGCGACGAAATAGTCAATGATCGATTTCAACCAGTTTAGGGGCTGCACGAATTGAGTGTGATTATGAATGAAGCTGTGGAGTCTGAAAAATACTGTTTTCGAAATAGTGTCTGTTGGACGATATTTTGGAAATCGTATATACTAAGATTTATATTTTTTTCAGAACAAGCATTTACTGGCCGGGGGTGAAGTTGGTGGCATAGGCCCAGGCGTTGTTCACGGTGGGGTCAGCCAGGTGGTCGGACAGGTTCTCAAGGGGACCCTTGCCGGTCACGATGGCCTGGACGAAGAATCCGAACATCGACACCATGGCGAGGCGGCCGTTCTTCAGCTCCTTCACCTTCAGCTCCGCGAGAGCGTCGGGGTCGTCAGCCAGACCCAGGGGGTCGAACGCACCGCCGGGGTACAGGGGGTCCTCAACCTCCTGGAAGCCCTCGAGGCCACCCACGCGGTAGCTCTCAACGGCGCCCATCAGGATGACCTGGGTAGCCCAGATGGCCAGGATGGACTGGGCGTGGATCAGGCCGGGGTTGCCGAGGTAGTCGAGGCCGCCCTCGGAAAAGATCTGAGCACCGGCCTTGAACCACACAGCCTCGCCGAACTCGACGCCGTTGTTGGCCAGGAGCTCGGGGGTCAGGCAGCCCAGGGCGCCGAGAAGAGCCCAGCGGGCGTGGATCACCTCCAGCTCGCGGTTCTTGGCGAATGTCTCGGGGTCGGCGGACAGGCCCGCGGTGTCCCACCCGTAGTCACCGGCATACTCGCCGTTGAGGTACGACGGGGGGGAGGAGAAGGGGCCCAGGAACTGGGGGCGGTCGGGGCCGTAGAAGGAGCTGGCGGGGGCGGCCTTGGCCGTCTTCCTCATGGAGACGCGAGCCTCCACATTGTTGACCTTGGCGGCGAGCTCAGCGCTCTGGCCGACGAAGGTGGAGGGAGCAACAGCAGCGTTGGCGAGGGCAGCCATTTCTGTCTGCTTGTTAGTGAACTGAATGTATGTGGATATTGGATGTGCTGCTGAAGCTTAGAGGTAAAACGAAAGCTTGTGCCTTTTGTATTACAGCAACCCAGTTCTGAGGTAGTGCCTGGGTTTGGGATTGAGGATTGATGTGGCTGGAGTGGTTGGGTCTCGAGTCGCCGCAATCCTTCTGAAGTATCGCGGCTGCTGGATAGCCATGCGATGTGGCTCACCGGGATTTTGCGATGTCGTCCTCGCTGCTGATTGGCTTCCCGTATTGCGGGCCACTCGCGCAACCGTCACGCTTGAGGAAGCCTGGCGAGTGGCGGTCCAATTGTCACGGAACCATACTGAAATTGTGGTCCGCTACACGCTGCAATTTTGAACTGGTGTTACGCAAATTATACATTGAAGCAAATTACCAGTGACCACACGTCTAGTTAGAAACCAAGAGCTAAGTGGAGTGGAACCCATTGATGCCATCTTGGACTGCTGTCCAGCCAGCCATTATACAATTTTATAATATATAAAAGCAGATGATAACCATGGTACTTATGCGCAGACAGAGCATACCGTATAGCTCGAAAAATCTATAAGTTGAGCTATCATGTGTCCAGCCAGAACTCGCACCACTGCAGCAGTCAGTCATGCATTGGATACCATTTGAAGACAGTCTCATATTCATATGCCCATGCAAGTCTCGCTGATTGCTCACATCTGATGCCCGTGCTTGTCATCCACCCCACCCGGCAACCCCTGCTCCACCTTCACCCCAACCCCTCCTGCCCCTTCCACCCCCAACACACTCTGCCTCGCCTTCGCCCGCGCCTCGCCCTCACGAATCTCCAGCATAAGCTTCACGCCAACGTACATGGAGAAGACTGTAACGAGTACAAGGAAGGGGTCCGAGAGGAAGCTGGAGAGGAAGCCGCGCACGCCGTCCAGCCCCACCACAAAGCCCACCAGGTTGGCCGTCATGAGGCCCAGCACGTTGAATGAGCCGGCTATTGCACAACACTCTCGGTACATCCACGACTTGCGGAAGCCCTGCAAGGCAACAAGATTGAAAGAGGGTGAAGGGGTGAAGTGAGAAGCCGCGCACGCCGTCCAGCCCCACCACAAGGCCCACCAGGTTGGCCGCCATAAGGCCCAGAACGTTGATAGAGCCGGCTACCGCACAGCACTCCCGGTACATCCATGATTTGCGGAAACCCTGTGGGATGGGAGGAGTGCGGGAAGGGTGGGTGTGGGGGGGTGTGAGGAGTGGGTTGAACAGCCACCACGAAGCCCACCACGAGCCCGAGCACGTTGATAAAGCAAGCTATCGCACAGCACTCGCGGTACATCCATGATTTGCGGAAGCCCTGTGGGGGGACAAGCGCCAAGGGAGGTGGAGGGTTGGTGAGAAGGGGGGGGTGTTTGTAGGAGTGGAATCAACAAGCAGCACGAAGCCCGAGCACGTTGATGAAGCCGGCTATAGCACAGCATTCGCGACACATCCATGACTTGCGGAATCCCTGTGGGGCGAGAGAATCGAAGAAGAGAGTAAGGGAGGAAGGTTTGAAGAGTGGACTCAAAACAACCACATATCCCCGGGGGTTGGCCACAAATTGGTGGTGCATCTGTGCCCCACAGGTACAGAACAAGGGTGTGCGGGAGGAGGAGGAGGAGGAGGAAGGAGAACAGGAGATAGAGGAGATCGGGAGGAGAACAGAGGATGAGGCTCTGTTGATTCAACAGCAAGGGACATACCTGCAGGGCCTTGAGGTTGCCAATGGCTTTGACGATCATCTCTGGCGCGAGCAGCAGCGACGTCAGCCACGCCCACCACAACAGCTTCCACTCCAAGTCATGCCACAGCGCCACGAACGTGAACACGATCCACACGTTCACCAGCTTCCGCTTCCCGCCGCCCAGCGGAATATACAGGTACCGCACGATCCACTTGTTGTACGACGCATGCCACCCGCGCCAGAACCCCTCGATGTCGTAATTATTGTTGATGCAGCGAGGAAGGTTCTCGGGGGTTTCCACGCCGGCCACGAGCGCCCAGAGGCGGAAGTAGCGCCAGATGAGGAAGAATTTGAGCCACATGAAGTTAAGAACGCCATAGCTCACTATGCTCATCCCCAGAGCGAGATTCCCAGGAGCCTCTTGACCCCACAGGACACTCCCTAGGTCGTTACCCCCCTTGCTGTGGGAAGCTTCCGAGAACCAGGGTCCGGCGGACTTGGCAAGTGCCTGGAAGTAGCAGAAGTGCATCATGAGCTCCATCAGGAGAAATGAGGCTGCCAGCCGGACGGCGTACATGGCGACGCGGGCGGCGGACATTGTCTTTTGCGGGGTGTCGAGCTGCGAGGTGAAGGCGTTGAAGGAAGCAATAGGTCCGGAGATATAGAGTGGGGCGAAGAGGAGGTAAGCAAGGTAGGTGGGGAGGGAGTATGCAGCCAGAGGGAGGCTCTCCCCCTGCCGCGCCGTGTAGCACGCCTGCCCCTGCCTGCACTGCAAGCACTTGGCTCGGTGAGCTTCCAGAAAGCTGCTTCCCGTGCTGCTGGCACTGACTGTTCCTGTGATCTTGGATCCAAGCAGCGGCTCTCCCTCTGATAACCCTCCCCTGGGACTCCTAACCCCTGCTCCCTGCATTCCCTGCGCTGCTGCTGCTGCGGCTGAATCCCGGGCGGCCCAGTAGTAATCGAGCCCAAAGCTGATCATGCGGAGCAGCAGCAGGTTGTAGCAGATCTCCCACCGGAACACCCCCCTGTGCGCGTCCAGAAACGACAAACTGCCGCCCAGGAAGGAAATGTGGGCGAATCGGAAGCCGTCGTAGGAGCGGATGAGAATGTATGAGCCGCACTGCCACGCCCACAGGGCAGTGGGGAACAGCCAGTCCCACTTGCTGCTTGTGCCGGTACCCTGCTTGCTGGTGCTGCTGCTGCTGCTGCTGCCTCTGCTTGCGCACCAGGACCCGAGCTGCTTCACTAGAACGTAATTCGCTACAGAGAAGGCGAGGAGGAAGACTGTACTCGCTTCGTGCAGGTACACCACATACGCTAGCGACGCTACCAGCCAATACCACACCAACACGTTTCCTCCCCCACTACCCCACCTCTTCCCACCCCCCACCAAGCCGTCCTTGCTTCGGGCCGAGCCTGCGGCCCCGAGCCTGATAACCAAAGCCAAGCCGGACAAGACTCCCATGACAACTGTCAAGACGGGGAGATTTCCGCGAAAATTCCGCCACTGGTCGTCAGAGAGATCGACCTTGCGGCCGGCAATCCATCCGGGGTAGAGCCCGCTGCTGGCGGCCGGCCAGTGCTGCACGAGAGACGCGTAGCGGTTGGACAGACGCACGGCGTGACGGATGACCTGATGGGGGAGAGGAGGAGAGAAGCAGAGAAGGAGAGGGGATGAGGGAGAAAAAGAGAGGGGATAAGGGAGAGAAGGAGAGGGGATGAGGGAGAGACGGAGAGGGGATGAGGGAGAGAAGCAGAGGGGATGAGGGAGTGAAGGAGGGGGGAATGAGGGAAGGAATGAGAGGAGATAAGGGAGAGAAGGGGGTGACTTCTGGTTCGACTCAATAGTGCTGCACGAGGGACGTGTGGGGAGTGGGGCAGGCGCATGGCGCGGCAGAGGAACTGGCAGTGGCGGAGGGGATGAGAGAGCCGTGCGATACGAAAGAACGAAGGGGAAAGAACGGGAGCCGGAAGTGCTGGCGGGGAGAGCGATTGGGAGGACTCGTGGACCCACCCGGCCGCACATATGATGGCAAGTGCAGCAGTAAAACTTCTCAGGCGTCTAAGAACTCTTACCTGGTAGTAGAAGTACGCGTTATAGCAGTACATTGTAACGTTGATAGCACCTCAAGGATTGTACCTGGTAGTAGAAGTACGCGGTGTAGCAGTACATGAGGAAAAACTCGACCGATCTCCACCGGCCGTAAGGAGACGACGTCCCTAAACCGCTGCTGCTGCTTCTTCCGAAGCTTCCCGAATTTTGCGCGTTGACGTTCTCCGCTTCATCCCTGGTGGGGATCAAATCTCGTCGGTTGCTGCTGCGGGAGAACGGCCCTGAAGGCTGCATCTTTGGTGGCCGGCGGAACGGGTGATGAATGCGTGAATGACACACACAGCTTCTTTGTCAGATTGGCGGACAGATTGGCCGGCAGAATGCTGCAGTCGGTCGACTGGTCCTAACCGGTAATGCTTGCGCGGACGGTTGACACCAATCTCTACGCAAAAGCTGATGTCATTCCGTGATCAAGCATTGTCGGTCGACCTGGTCCTAACCGGTAATGCTTGCGTCGACATCGCGGGTGCCAATCAAACTAAGATATGCCGACAGCTACGAGCGCTCGGCCATGACAGGCTTATTTGCAGCATTCATCGTCCGCTTGGCACGCGTTGTAACGAAACCCCTTTGCTCAATAAAAATCCCGAGGACGAGCCCCTTCTTGAAGAAACATGCACTATGCGTTCGTCCAGTGCTATTAGTAGTTTGCTCGTCGGCTGCAAAATGATAAGAGTCGGCTGGGAAACGATGGAGCCGGCTGGGAAATGATAGAGTCGGCTGCGGATGGAATGATAGATTCTGATCAAATTGGTTTTTCATGTGCTCATGTGCACGCAGCACGCCATGGCAAGGGAAGGGAGGGAGTCCCAGTGAGCTTCTGAAATCTGAAATTTCCCGCCTTTACTACCCCCTCTTCCCATTGGGTTATGGAAATTCATGTTTTGTAACACAGCCCAACCCGACCCGAGGTCGATTCTTGTGCCAACGAAAAGCCGAGTTTCAAGGATTATGACAGTAATGTGACGAAGGGTTTCGGCTGGTGGCGTAGAATTCACGAAATATCTCGAAAGTTAGCGTTTGCAATCCTAAGCTGGGAGAGAACACCTAGTCTTCGGAATCTAGATGAAAGGACCAAACTCTCGAAAGTGGTTTGTTTCATAACGAGTACAAGGCTGGATGACCTAATTGGATGAGCTTTTGCACATGTGAACAGAAGCCTTTCCACGCGTCCTGACCTTACAGTGCCGCGAAAGCCAACATCCACGTGGAGGCTCTCCACTTATCGCAGGGGAGAGACGGCTCCCTTTCCTGTCAGTGCTGGCTGATGCTGTGGGTGGAGGATGCACAAGCCCAAATGAAAATGAACGGCTCGATGTCTGGATGATATTCGTAATCGACGGCTTTTACACCCTGCATCCACATTTTGGCGCACGGCCTGGAGGGAACACAGCAGTGCGTGTCAACCCATCTGCCCTGGAAAAGTGGAAAGTGGGGGGGCGGCAATAATCATCCGTAGATCCCACGATGAGATATCAGTGAAGGCGGCATCATCCGTACGATGCTCTCTAGAACAAGAACCCAACCTCGAGGCCCAACCGAACTGGTCCCTGAGCTGGCAGCTGCGGAAAAGGTGGGAATGGATCCCCTTGAACCTGAAAGAAACCCTCCTGCTGCTTCAAACCAGCTCACTTCCTAATTGCCAGACAGGCTGCTCTTCACCGGACTGACTCAAATCTCTCTGGTCTTTTATTCCAGTAGTCACCTCTGGTCTTGACTACTTGTAGCTTACTCGCTCTGGCCATTCCTGCCGCTGGGTTGTTTCGTCCCCAGCTTCAGGATAGCCAAGTGGAAGGAACGTGCTTACAAACGTTTAGACCCTTTTCCGTATATTTAGGTAAAGAAGAACAGGGATGGCTTCTCAGTTTGACAGTCGTACCAAGCACGGACCAGCCCTGGCCGTGGATATCTCTTCTCTTGTCTCAACACTGCACACTTCTCTGGCCGATCACAAGCAGCGTTTTGAGAGTTTTTGCGAGACGCACCGGCAAAGGTTTCAGGGCATTCAGGCCGCATTGTCCTCGTTTCCATCGGCATCACTGCCATCCGGAGCAGCCGACTGCCGTTCTTCTTCCAGCAGGTCGCACGTTCAGCCAGTAGGCCATCGATCGGGTAAGGCACGACGAGCGGCGAAGGCGTCGCCAGGAGCAGAGGCTCGCGCAGCCCTTCCTCTAGCCGCCATTTCGAGCGCCGCATTTGTCAAATCGCCGGCTTCCGTAGCGCGAGTAAACAGCGAGAAGGCCGATGGTGCACCCGCCGTCACCAGCGCCAATTTCGGAAAAGCCCCCACGTCGATGCCACTCTCCGTCGCGTCCCTAAAATCCGTAAACTCGGAGGCTTCGGCTATCGAGGATCGGAAGCTGACGTCAGATGCGCCGCTCGCCGAGGCTGCAACGCAGGATCGGGCTGGATGTGTGGACGAGGCGGTGACGAGGCCGTCGCTGGTGCAGCTGCTGACGCACCCCTTGGCGCTCCTTCGCGGCATTCCCAAGGACGCCGCGTTTTTCATCTCCGGCGCCGTCTCCGGCGCTGCCGCTAAAACCGCGACCGCGCCGCTAGACCGATGGAAGCTGATGATCCAGGTGCGTGACGAGAGAGTGGTGCGAAAGGCGGAAACGATTGGGGGTGCGGAGCAAGGGGGGAAAGGGGTCTGATCGGGCTACCGGGGTTGCAATTTCCTGTTAGTCAACAATTTTTTATTTCTCTCTCTTTCCGCAACCCGCTTTTACCCGGCGTTGATCCCAGGTCAAGAGCGTTCTACCGGGGAAGGTCATCCCGCCGAGAGAGATTAACCTCCTTAAGGTGCCTTTCTGTCAGCATTTTCCCCCGCTGTTCCCGGCCTTGTGTCGTGCTTTCGGTGGCTCTCGATCGTATCGCCACCTACTGTGCATTTCATTCCATGTTGTTGCCGCGTTGTATCTCGTTGGCGTGGGAACCTTACGATTAGGTCACGTTGCCGTGCGGCTCCCATTGGGGCTGCCGGTTAGCCCCATGATCTATAATATCCACTAGTCGTGCTTATTATGGATTTTCTCTCATGTGCTTACTCATGATTTTCGTTGGCAGACATTTCTTGACATTGGAAAGGAAGGCGGCGTTACTGCTTACTGGAAAGGAAACCTGCCCCAGGTAACTTTTTCCTCTACTGATCCTTGTTCTCTACTGAGTCCTATTCTATAAACCCTGTCCCCTCCTAGGCTTCACTTTCCCCCCTCCTTCGTGTCCCCTCCTCCGCTCCTCCCTCCTCTCCCCCAGGTCATGCGCATCGTGCCCTACAGTGCCGTGCAGCTGTTCGCCTACGAGCTCTACAAGGTTCGCTCGTCGCCTCCCCGTTCCTCGTCTTTTCGCACTTGGCCTTGCTGTCCCATCGAACCACTTTGGAGTCAGCAGCAAAAAGCTCTATACGCTGTTCGCCATTTTCGTTCTTTAGTTGGCTCATAGCTCGATTTCCCAACCCCCCGCGTCTCCCGTTCTTCAGAAGCAATTCCAAGGCAGCAGCAAGGAGTTGTCGGTGCCGGCGCGGCTGGCGGCGGGGGCGTGCGCGGGGATGACGTCGACGCTGGTGACGTACCCGCTGGACGTGCTGCGATTGCGCATGGCGCTTGATGTCACCAACGGGAGCATCGCGCAGGTGGGGATCGGGGATGGGGGCGAGGCACGCTGCGAGGTGCTTCGTTGTAGTGATAATGGTGGCTGGAGCCCTAGCGCATGCAGCCGGAACACCGCGGATGTTTTGGGGCGGGGTTAAGGGAGGGTTTAATTTCCAGACTTGGCAGCAGGGCTGCGCGGGAGGTAGTTCGGGTGTCTCGTGCGTGAAACATGATCACGGGGAGACGCTGTAAAGTGGACACGGCTGCTGAGTGCTCCGTAGAGTTGCGCGAGAGAGCCGAGAGCCCGCTTTAAGTCGTGTGCGGGTTAGCACGTGGCCGCGTAGAGAAGCGAACATCGAGCGTCAAGGGAAGCGGCTGTCGCAGGTGATCAGCGGCTGGGCGCGAGTAGCGAGAGGGGAACGCCCACTGGATGAGTGGTCTATTCCGCTGTAAGCGTCGGCGCAGGGGTGATTATTGTGCACAGGGAGGACGGGCGGCCGGTAGGTAGAAAGGCTGGGGAGAGTCAGCGAGTCGAGAGGCCGCATTGAAGCAGGCAGGAGGTTGTGCTACCAGCGGCGGTAGGCTGATAGTTCTGGCACTGGCAGTGTCGGCGGTTGGCGAGACGAGGGGCGTGAGGGTACTACAGGCGGTTCTTAAGCTACTGGGTGGAATGGCTGTAGCGGAGTCACCAGTCTGATATGTGGTCCGTATGTGGCATCCCAGCGCTGGATGGGGAGGTCGTAGGGGTGTCGAGGAGGTGGAAGGGAGGCTGTGGGCGCGGCTGAGTAGTGAAGGTTTGGGACTGTGGTGATTGTCATTGGCACATCACACATACGTACTAGCGTTCGCACGTTTCTTTCTTGGCTTGCGCACTACCCTCCGCCGTTGTTACATTTGCTGGACACTGGCGACTAACCCTCGCTATGTGCGTGTGGCACTGACTGCGTGGGTGGCACTGTGGGTGGCAGGTAGCGATGGCGATGGTGAGGGAGGAGGGCGCGAGGTCGCTGTACAAGGGGCTGGGGCCGGCGCTGGTGTCCATTGCGCCCTACATCGCCCTCAACTTCTGTGCCTACGACATGTGCGTCATGAGGGGATGGGGCATGTGCATGTGGGGATGGGGCATGTGCATGTGGGGATGGGGCATGTGCATGTGGGGATGGGGCATGTGCATGTGGGGATTGGGCATGTGCATGTGGGGATTGGGGGGGGGGGGGGGCGCGCTGGTGTCCAAAGCTACATCGCCCTCAACTTTTGCGCCTATGACATGTGCGTGTGGACGTTTCCTTGGTTGAATATAACATGTGCGTGATGGGATGGGGCATGTGCGTGATGGGATGGGGCATGTGCGTGATGGGATGGGGCATGTGCGTGATGGGATGGGGCATGTGCGTGATGGGATGGGGCATGTGCGTGATGGGATGGGGCATGTGCGTGATGGGATGGGGCATGTGCGTGATGGGATGGGGCATGTGCGTGATGGGATGGGGCATGTGCGTGATGGGATGGGGCATGTGCGTGATGGGATGGGGCATGTGCGTGATGGCATGGGACATGTGCGTGATGGGATGGGACATGTGCGTGATGGGATGGGACATGTGCGTGATGGGATGGGACATGTGCGTGATGGGATGGGACATGTGCGTGATGGGATGGGACATGTGCGTGATGGGATGGGACATGTGCGTGATGGGATGGGACATGTGCGTGATGGGATGGGACATGTGCGTGATGGGATGGGACATGTGCGTGATGGGATGGGACATGTGCGTGATGGGATGGGACATGTGCGTGATGGGATGGGACATGTGCGTGATGGGATGGGACATGTGCGTGATGGGATATAGCATGTGTGTTTTACGAGGATAAGCCGCTTCCCACCTAATCTTGCTTCTCACCATCCCTCCCCGCTCCCCCCTCCCCCCACCTCAGGATAAAGCGGCGGGTGCCGGAGCAGTATCAAGGCACGCCGCAGGCGAACCTGGTGACGGCGCTGGCAGCAACGACACTGGCCACCGTGTCGTGCTACCCCATTGACACGGTGCGGCGCCAGATGCAGATGAAGGGGTCGCCCTTCAACTCCATGATTGAGGCCTTCCCAGGTGCGTTCGGGTTACAGATGACTCATAGTGAAGGTCTCAAACTGCATGTCCCAGGCCTTCCCAGGTATGTATGGGGTGACTCACGCAGCATCAGACACAGATGAACGGGGCGCCCTTTAACTCTATGCTCGAGGCCTTCCCAGGTGCATTCAGGGTGACTAGAAAGTCAGACAGACAGTTGCATATCAAGTGGTTGTGCTCGAGCCCTTCCCTGGTATGGTACCTCCAATACATCAAGATTCGAGTTCTAGCTGGTTCAGGTTTCAGAGTGAGTGATGCGAGATGGATGGTCAATAGCCATTGCTCAAATGTATGTGTATCTACGTGTGTGTTTGGCGGCAGGAATTGTGAGGCGAGATGGATGGCTGGGGCTCTACCGAGGCTTTATTGCCAACACGGTGAAGAACCTCCCTAACAGCAGGTAAGCGTTGTGGTCTGCGTTGTCATATTCTACCCCATTCCTGCTCTGCTTACTCGCTCATCACAGCCCCATGAGTCGCTTAAGCTACTCTTGCTACCTTCTTCACATGTGAATCTCCCCGTTTTCTCTTGCCTCATGCAGTGTGCGCCTGACGACGTATGACGCCGTGAAGAACACCATTCTCTCAGGCCACTCACAGTGGGACCGCCTAGTCGTAGAGCACAAGCGTCAACTCAACAAGGCCAGGTTGCAAGCAAGGCAGAATGGTGGAGCCGGAGCAAGCAGCAGCAGCAGTGTATTAGCCACTGTTTCTAGTGCATCAGGGCAAACAGTCGTTTGTTGATGTCTTGCTTGCTATCTTTAGTTGCACTTACGCAGGAATTACACTCACACTCGAGGACTCGTTGCAACCCCAACCCCTTATTCGAAGTAATCCATTATTTCACTTCAGTAAGGAATATTTGGGCAAACAGCTCAACGGTCACGTAGGCCATTAGATTTATGATACCGTATTACCCCGGATAGTAGCGCATATGCGCTTATAATAAAATCAGTTTTTTTAAGGGGGGCGCTTGTAATTGAATATCGGCCATAAGCGCCTGCGCTTATATAACGACAAATACAGAAATACAACTTGAACATTTCAGTCTCGTAAGTTGAATCATATCGAAATTGAACATTTCGCTATGGGGGTGTGTTGAACATTTCCCAATATACCGTATGGCCCCGGATATAGGCGCCGTCCGATTAAAGGCGCCGGCGCCTCTATCTGGAGCATGGCGCTTATGGCCGGAACTCGATTATAAGCGCACCCCCTGAAAAATCTATCCTTATTATAAGCGCATCCCCTAACCTTACATTGGAGGCATTACAAAAGAATTTACTAAATTGTCACCTTTTCTAAGCAAAATCAAATTAAGCTAGATCTCCTAACAAGTTTAGCCGGGGTACTTCTACCTACAGTAACATGGATCATACAGTAACCCTCCTACTCCTCCTCGTCAGATTCGGGCTCCTGGCAGTTGTTGCCAAAAAAACCATCAGCGATGATTTCATCGTCGACATCCACTTCAGCTGTCAGCTGGCTCCGCCTGTGCGCCATGGCGAGTCCGTCCTCACTACCGTCAAGCTGGTTGCTGATGCCACAGGTGAGGAAGGCATGCTTGATGAGGTCGGCGGGCACTGCCTTCCAGGCTTGTGATACCCACCGCAGGACGACCTCTGGTGAAGGCTTCTTCAGGTTCCCTGAAACATTACGGGAGAACGGTGGAAAGCAGTTAGTGCAACAACAAAGAATTCGGGGGGGGGGGGATACTGTACTCATGCCATACCTGCTGCCGTCAGCTGCTCTTGCCCCTCTGCCTCAAACCACCTCTGGTACTGCTGGCGGACCGACGCCTTAAAGCTCTTGTTGATGCAGACATCGAGCGGCTGTACCTCCGCCGTACAGCCCGACGGGATGATCGCCGGCACGCAGTTCATCTCGCGGAGCTTCTCCTTCACCTCCTCGGTGAGGTGACCGCGGTAAGAATCCAGCACCAGCATCGAGCTCTTGGCGTGTCTGCCGAACCGAGGCTTCAGGAACGGCTTCACGCACTCCTCAAGCCAGCGAACGACGCCAGGGGAGTCCATCCACCCGTTCTCGTGGCAAGCCACGGCCACATCTGCATGAAACACGCACGGGTGGTTAGAATTCGAACTCTGAAAAGAACGCAGTGACCGAGCCGTGCACCTCTTTACTTACTGGCAGGGAAATCGCCCTTCGGCAAGGTTTTGCGCTTGAAGAACACCCACGGCTTCAGCTTCCTTCCGTCCGCCGTGCACGCCAACATCACGGTCACTCTCTGCTTCTGATACCCCGCGCTCCTGATAGGCACCGAGCGAACACCCGTTTCCTCCACGGTGGTGGTGGCGGGCATCTCCAGCCAGAGCGGCGCCTGGTCCGCGTTGATGATCCACGCGGTGTCGATGCCGCGCTCACGACGCTTGGCACGCACGAACTGCCAGAAGCTCTTGCACTGATCAGCGACATCTGCACGGCGGTGGAAGAGACGTCGGACACAGACGGAGGGCGTTAGTACAATTAAAGAAAATCAACGTGCCAAATTGAACGGGGTAATTCTCACGCGCTGCGGTTTTCTGGGCAACCCGGGTCTTCATGCGGACGCTCAGATTCCATCGCCGCCGAAAGCGCTCCGACCACCTCTGGCTTCCTTTCCACTTCTTGTCCGGGTACAGAAGCTTCATGAACTCCCGCGACCACTCCTGCAAGCGGCCGACTGACACGGCGGTTCCCTTGCGGCGCCACTCGAGTAGCTTCTTGTACACCTTCAACTCCATCGGCCGGTACCACGACGCTCGCCCGCGGCCGTGCATGCGCTTCCGAGAGGAGTAAACATCCTTGAGGAATTCCGCCGCCCGCTTCCAGTTGGTGAGACACTTCCGGTGGATTCCGCTCTCGCGAGCCAAGGCGCGCACCGACACCGCCAAGTCCATCAGAGCAACCCACTTCAACTTCTCCGCGGCGGTGTAACCTTGCCGCTTGTGATCGGTGAGCTTGTGCCTGGGAGAGGGGGGGCGGGCATCACGGTTCTGTGAAGAGGGGTGGGGTCGCTTGCGATTATTCGGAGGATAGGTTGGTATGGGCAGTTTCTCGGGTAGCCCGTCGCGTGACCAGTACTCAACGCCGTCGTCGTCAGCGTCGCCCGTAACACCTTCTGGAAACACATCGTCAGCGGTGCCGCCCTGGGCGCCGCCCCCGGCGGAAGCCTCCGTGCCACCCTCGGTGCCGTCAGCGCCGCTCGCTTCCTCTGCGTCAGCAACATCATCGTCGGCGCCGACCGCAGATTCGTCCCAAGGGCAATCGTCGGGCTGTCCCCAACGTCGTCCAGGAAAGTGTTCCACTTCCACGTACTCATCTTGCGCCTTGTTAGACTCCGGTTCGGAGAGGTATTCGTCGAACGCCGATGGGAGCAGTATCGTGAGCACGGGCTGATTGCCAGTGAGTTGCAAAGACACAGGACCCAGAGGCGGAGGAGCAGGAGGAACAGGAGGCGCAGGAGGTGCAGGAGGCGAAGGAGGAGCAGGAGGCGCAGGAGGCGCAGGAGGCCGTGGTGGCTCTGGTGGTTCTGGTGGGATACGGGAGTACCACCCGTCAGCGTCCACTCTAAACGCGGGCCTTCGCGTAGGCTTTTTCTTGAACAAGAAGTGGGTGCCGCTGAATTCCGCCATGGCGGCGGCAGCCAGGCGAGAACTACCAAGAACCCGAACGAGAAACTGAGAGAGATGGAGAACAAATGAGAGATTCAAAGGGACCCCTTCTGGTTAGCGCCTCGGGGTCCTCGTCGGGGAGAGACGGGTACCCCCTGTCTGAACCCGGAGAGGAGGTTATCGCGGCACGAAGATGCTGCGCTGGCAGGGCATTCCAGCCCCTTCTCGATGGTTCGGGTGAAATGCAGCTGCCTGCCAGCGCATGAAAGCCTGATTGGGCCGCAAGGCAACTTTCACGTCAGCGCTGGCAGGTGCGCTGCTCGTGGACGGGATTTGTGCGGTCGGGAATCGAAGCGCAGCAGTTTTCGGCGGGATTACATGCATTATCCCACGCGCACGTTACTCAATTGTGTTCGCTTTATTGCGGGCTTCGATTTGGTACATAAAAATAACAAATTCATTTTTGCGATGATATAAGCGCCGGCGCTTATGGCCGTTATTCAATTACAAGCGCCACCCCTAAAAAAAATGATTTTATTATAGGCGCATATGCGCCTATATCCGGGGTAATACGGTAACGACAAATACAGAAATGTAACGCACCAAATTGAACATTTCAGTCTCGTAAGTTGAATCGAATCGAAATTTTACAGGGTCCAGAATCAGAATCGCGCGATAGCGATTTTCTGACGGTGCACATTGTGAAGTAAGAAAACAGGAATGAATGAGAAAGGAGTGAGCGAAAAAGTGAGGGTTGCACTAGAAAGCATTGGGATACAAATAGAAAACCCTAACAGGGTTGTACTCACTACAGAGTACCCCACTGCAGACTAGAGAAACATAATATTCTGAGACACATAGCTTTGACACGTCATTTTGCCCGCGTGCCAACTCATACTGACTGGACGCGCAACCAGTAGGTCCTCGAAAGTTAAACAAAGTGAAAATGGGGGTGTTGACTCACTAGAAAATTGAAATTCGTTACTGTTTTAATCAGCATTGAAAAATAAAATTTGCATGCGCTTATAATATGTCAGTGTTTTACAGGGGGGGCGCTTATAATCGAATTCCGACCAAAAGCGTCATGCTCAAGATAGAAGCGCCGGCACCTTTAATCGAACGGCGCCTATATCCGGGGCCATACGGTTGTGAAACAATAGGAATGAATGACTAGGAAATGAGTTGGGTACAAATAGGAAACCCTAATAAACTGTACCCCATAGTGTCTACCCCACTACAGCCTAAACATGTGAAAATAATAGGAATGAATGAGAAGAAGAAGGTGGAATGATTGCACTAGCAAGCAGTTGAGTACATATAGGAAACCCTAGATTGGGCTGTACTCACTATTGAGTACCCCACTGCAGGCTAGACAAATATAACATTCTGACAAAACAGGCTATGTGATTAATGTTTGACACACCCCCATAGGCAAGGTGGGGGAGAACAAGGGGTCACAAGACCAGTCAAGCAAAGCAAGCTCATGGTGGATCACAACGTCACCACACATTCCGAGCACAGGTTCAAAGGCCACAAGGCCAGTTCACATGCAAGGTTATATATAAAGGTAAACAAGCAAGTGCAGGTATATATAGATCACAGTACAAATAAAGTCAAGAGGTAAGCAAGTGAGGCCAAGTAGGCACAAGACCTAGCATAGTACAGAAGCGCTGATGATCACAAGGCTGAAGTGCCTTGGTGAAGATATCAGCAGTGTTGGCCTGAGAGGCCACGTAAGCAAGGCGCAGCTGACCACGCTGCTGCAGCTCACGAGCAAGGAAGTAGCGAAGAGCA